TGGGCCGGCTCAGATATTACAGCATGCGTAAACCTGCTGAGCCACAGGCTGCAATTCCCGCCACCCTTGGGGTGGGTTCCACTACATAATGGAGTTTGTATGGGCGGCTATTTAATCCTTTTGCATTTGTTTTGTTATTTGCTTTAAGTAGATGTTTATATTAGGGTTAGGGCATTTTTTGTGGCTGATTTTTTTTAGTGCTTTTGGTGCTCTTGGGCTCTAACGGTGTCTAGAGAGTTTTTGAGAGATCGATCCTCCTCTCGAATAGAGGATCGATAGTATCTTGGCATTTTCCGGCTCCTTTCATCAAATAATACAAAAAATATCTACGGTTTTCTGGTTTTACTTGGAGTTTTGTGAAGATTTCTCGCTGATTTTTCAAGGTTGATAAGCGTTTTCTATCAGTCTTCTACTTAGATCATTGTCTTCTTGCTCAGCAAATCCTCATACATTTTTCCTCTTTATTATATAGATTGCAGATGATAATTAAAGCAATCGCATCTATTTAATTAGTGAAATATTTTAGAGAAAATGAGTATGTGATTCTATTTACCATGCTCCTTAATTTTGCTGATTTTAAATCGATTTCCAAGCAGATCAATTTCGATTGAAACTGATCTGATAGTTATTATATTTCCAATTTTAAATTTTTTTCCTGTGTTTCAGTGAAGTTGCGTTCAAAGCTCCAAAGTTTTACCGTAAACTAATAACTTTTGAATAGAACTTCACAAAAACTCCTGAGTAGTGATCAATGTACTAAAATTCTATTACTAAGGTCTTATTAAATTTCACGAGTTGTAACATAAACCCAAATTAAATAATCCTCTTTGCTTCAAACCTTAAATATACTTTGTAATATTTTTTAATAAAAAAAGTAATCAAAAGAAAAATCAAAACTATTGAAGCATAAAGTTGTACTATGGGTTCAAAACTAATACTGAAATTGGACTTTTAAAACCTTGACTACAATTCATCTCATTGAAAGTTTTCACAAACTGCAATGAGTTACCATGCTTCCATCATAAGACGTGAATTTTTGCAGACAAAGACTTATCTCATTAGAAGTTTTCACAAAATGCAATAAGCTACCATCTATGATGCACAGACACGGACAGGGGTTGGACACGATATATAATTTTTATATTTTAAAATAGTGTCGGTGCATACCATGATCAGGAGAAGTGGCGCTGCAACATAGCCTACCATGATCACATGATAAGACATGATTTTTTGCATAGTTCAACTAACAAAAGATTTTCTATGGACAGCATATTATAAATTGAGTAAGCAGATTATTTTAAAGGTGAAATATCTTGGAGAAAGGGATCATCTAAATGGGCTTCTATAATTCATCTCATCTTCCATATTATTTGAGTAGACTGTTTTAAAGGTGAAATATATCATATAAAGGAAGCTTCTACACAGGCTTCTATAATTCCCTCTCAAATTCCGCATTATTTGATGCATGCTCTGAGCTAAATCACAAAAAAGTCAAAAAATAGCATGCCAATAATTTTATGAGTATAGATGTAAATACATAATCCAACTACTCTCCTTTCAAGAAGAAAATAAATTTATCTCAAGCATGTATGCACGTCTGTAATTACATTCCATGCCTGCATGCATATATGCACTATGTGAAAATAATAATAATAATAATAATAATAATAATAATAAAATATATATGCACTATGTGAATATATGTAGACCCAAATGACCAATCGATGTGAGTATGTGACTACTCCCTTCCAATAAGATAGGTTCATATTATGTATGAATTAACTTCAATATGCGCATGTGTACATACAGTTTATAACAAGTTTCCAAGAGGAGAAAGGTTTATATTCTGCAAGAGTCAACTTAAGTGCATAGAAATATATTTCACAAGACGATAATGTGAAAGTTGATAGAATCAATCAATCCCATGTATGCGACAAAAGTTGATGCAAAGTTGAGAGAAGCAGTACATAACGTATACAGAGAAGGTAAAATCAAATCTAAAACTGCTCGAATCTATGGTGATTCTTATCGTTTCAGATATAAATGGATCATAAATAGCAAATAAGATATAAGCATATATCCAGGATTGATGAGTCTTAGACACAAGCACGACATATTATTACCATCCATCATGTACTAATCAAATTTCTTTCATAATCAAAACCAAAGAAAATTGAGAAGCATATTTCAAGTAACTTCTGACTAGAAGAATTTCCCAGGGGTTACTAAAAATTCATCAAGAACAATTAGAATTAAAATTCTCTAACCAAAATGAGGTTGAATTTTGGAAAGTAAATATAGTGCTGTAAGTTCATGATAAATTCTGTATCATATACATAAGAATTTTGTATAACCAAGCTGAATTGACTAGAAGGATTTGTGAACGTTACAACGTCAATACAATATTTTATCCTATGCATGAATGGTCTGCGGGGCCAACATACTAGTATGACCAGGAGATCTTCATACTTAAAAACAAGAATATGCTGGGGGCTGCCACAACCACAATGGTGCTATCCAAATCAGAAACCTTCAAATATGCTACTGAATTGTGACTAAGAATTTGTCAATATCTAAAAAAGAATGTTTTTCAAACATGAAAATGAATTTACAAAAAATATGACAAATCTAGCATTTGTAAATTCAAAATAATGTCCTGCGTAAGGGCTCACCCCCAAAAGAAAAATAAAATATTTCCTAGAGATCATGATTCAAATGGTGCTTCTGTGAATTATCACACAACAATGCTCACATACCATTAAGTTCCAGAAAAACATCTGAGAAAGCAATAGAAATTCATACTATTAAAATAAACAAATTGAAACATTAAACAGAAATCTTAACTATTCACTTTGTTCAAAAATACAACAACAAAAACATCAAACCTTTATCCCAACACATTGGATTGGTTACATAAATCCTTTTCCTCCATTGCCCCGTTAAGAGTCAAAATCTAATAAAAAAAGTCATTTTTAATAACCAAGTCTTTTGAGGTCTACCTCTACCTTTTTTAGCATAGGTTAAATCTAATACATCTACTCTCCTAATAGGGTCAAGAAGGCCGACATTTTATGTGACCAAACCATCTAAGGCGACTCTCTCTAATCTTATCTGCTCCTGGAGCTACTCCAACAATTTCACGTATATGCTCATTTTGTATTATGTCTCTAAGAGTAAAATCACTCATCCACTTGAACATCCTCATCTCTTCCTCATCGTAATCATCATCCTTCTCTTTTAATGGCTAACATACTGCACCATAAAGCATTGCATGTCTCACCACCATCTTATAGAATTTTACCTCAAGTTTGAGGGGCATTTTTCTATCACACAACAAGCCCGGTGCATTCCTTCACTTTAACCATCCAATTTGAATTATAACAATAATATCGCGATCTATTTCGCCATCACTCTGGACAATAGAGCCAAGATATCTGAAATGTGTACTATTATTAATGATTTGATCGCCCAAAGTTACAATCCCCTCACTAGATCTATAACTACTAAAATTACACTCCATGCATTAGGTTTAGATCTGCTCAAACAAAAACTTTTAGACTATAAAGTTGACCTCCATAATTCAAATTGACCTTCAACTCTCTCTCTAGTGTTATCAACAAGAAGAATATCATAAAAAAAAGCATACACCAGGGTACATCCTCTTGCAAATGTCTAGTAAGAACATCCATGACTAAAGCAAAAAAGATATAGGCTTAAAACTAATCCTTGATGCAATCCAAATGAAATAGGAAAATATTTGGTCAAACCACCTTGTGTTTGAACACAAGTAGCAGCCCTTGCATACATTTCCTTAGTGACTTAACCCCTTACTTTTCTAAAACCCTCAATAGCACTTCTCTTGGAACTTTATCATAAGCTTCCTCTTGATCAATAAATATCATAGGTAGATCCTCCTTATTCTCCATATACTTCTCCATCAAACCTCTCAATAAATGTATAGCTTCCATAATAAACCTACCCGGCATGAATCCAAGTTGATTTTGAGAAATATTAGTATAACATCATAACCTATGTGCAATAACTGTCTCCCATAGTTTTGAAGTATGACACATTAACTCAATTCTTCTATAATTTGCACACTCTTGGCATCACCTTTATTCTTAAAAATAGAAAACAACACACTCCACTCATGTGGCATCTTTTTAGTCTCCATTAGAAATTTTAAGCATTGTGCAATGGTACTATCTTCTCATAGATAGAAACTTAGAATATAAAAAGCAGCAATAAACAGATGACAACTCTACCGTCGAATTACAATTCAGAAAAATAAGAACGTTTCAAATGTGCAAGATTGAATAATGGAATTACATCTTCTCACATGTTGAAACTGACAAATTAAAAAACTAAAGAAAACACATGACAAATATTCAATTACAATGACAAGCTTGTGATATGGAATGCGTCTCTTGAAGGGGAAATTATTCTGTGCGGAGTCCGGACCGGAAGAACCGTCCGGATTGCTGCGTATTCACTGAGTATTTGATGAATATTTGTAAATACTCAGCAAATACTCAGTAAATACGTAGAAAATCAGCAAATACGCAATAACTACTCAACAATATTCACAACTGAGTATTTGTTGAGTATTTACAAATACGCAGAAAATTCGGACGGATCTCCCCGTTCGGGCTCCACACAGAATAATTTTTCCTCTTGAAGACAAATCATAGTTCACCATAAACAGTGATAACTTTCTGGAAAATAACTATAGGCATTTAGTCAAAATCACATGATAAGTAGTCACAAAGTTTAATAGGGCAACAAAATACAAAATCGGTGATACATAAAAGCAAGCAAGTAACAGTAGAGTATGGAGATGAGTATATATATATATATTTTTTTTTCTATTTATATATGCATATTGGAAAGGTCAATTTTGGACCGAAAGTTTCAGAATATAATAAAAAAAAGATAAAGGTAAAATGAACATCTCATACACAACAAACATCCATGGGAATAAAATTGAAATGTTTGCATACCTCCACGGATGAATATTGTCACAGCCCTGGAGTTTGCACATTGCTCAATATATAACATCCGGTCCTTTGTAGTCCCAAATGATTTTTCCCTAACTAGACCAGCCTATATGAACAGGAGAATGATACAAGGTCTAAATAAAAGCATAATCATCTAAAAAATATACATTGAAAAACAGAAAACATGCAATCAGAACATATAGATAACGAAGGAAACGACCATTATTGAATATCTAAGAAGCATAAAACACATAGTTAATGAAGCAAGCAGCCATCATTGAACACTTACGAAAACTAAACAAGATCATACGACATCATCATTTTCAGCCTTCTCCCAAATATTTCAGGTCACTTTATGAATCATTATCATTCATTTATTTATATCCAGATTTGCATACCATGCATATGGAATTAAACTCTAGCTTATGCAAACCTTATCTTAACAAATTTTATCCAAGCTACCCTTGATCAATCCTGGTATTAATTCTAGCTTTTGCATGCTTTTCCTTCACAGATTCTAGCCAAGCTATCCTTGATCTAAACGTATTCAATCCTATGCATATTCACACCAATTCTATCTTGCAATGTATTGGTGTATATTTTGCTCTATGTAATACATGCCCAAACAACCTATAATTTATTTTTGACAATAGTGTTTTGGATAGGTGATTCCCAAATAGCCTCTATAATAAAATCATTATAGACGACATCCTTCCTATTTTTACCAAATATTCATCTTGATGGTAACATTATACCAAGCATCTAACTTACTATTAGTTCTTTGTTACCCAGCACCTAATCCATACTATGACAACAGTAACAACACAGGTTAAAAAATACAAGATAAGTCTTAACTACATGTAATCAATTCATTGGATGAATGATTTTATGTTAAAAAAGGTGCACCTAGTTCTCAAAACTTTCAACCAATGAGGGTTAACCTTAACCCCAAAAAAGGTGCACCTCATGCATGGAGATTCCAAAAAAGGGCACACCAACTTCATGAGGTTTTCAATGAGGTATAACCTACTCCAAAAAGGGGCACATATGCAAGGAGATTAAAAAAATGCTATACTTGGGATAGTAAAGAGCTATTTACGTGATTAGACTACACTATTCTTTTATGAGAAAAAAGATCATTCGCCGCATAATTAGTTCTCTATGTTTTTACCTATTTCAAGTGAAAGATCAAGATGAGTAAGATTTGGGATAGTAAAGAGATTGTGATTAGACTATTATTTTTTTACAAGGAAAAAGGCCATTTTCCACACAAATAGTTTTCTATGTAATTGCTTTCAAAAGCAAGATCAAGATTATTGATACTAATCTACAACCTAAGAACAATTTGGTTAATCAAATTTGATAATTTTTTATAAAAATTAAACATTTAATAAAACATATCGAAGAATGTGATGTATTGCCTCGCTAAAAGTTACTATTACAGGATTTTTTTATTAAATCCAATGAAATTGCTCCAAATGTGCTTTAAACAAGCTCAAATACTTTCATATAATTTTAGTACCCCCTAAATTATAAAATTAGTAACTCATTTATCTCAACATCTAGAATGTCAATAAATTGTTATTTTTTAATGCTTGATGCAATCTCAAATCAATTTAAAATTTCATGAAATTTTAAATTTAATTTGGCCAAAAAAATATATGGAGTGTTTAAGCCAAATGGACTTTATTTGTAAAATAGATATCGTACAATTAAAAAAAGCTAAGAAAATCATCTATAACAATAGCTCTATCCACATAAAAGGATATATATAGCTTGCACAATATACATAATCATAATGGTAATAAATATAAATTGAAATGCCCACTCCAACCCCGCCTTTATTGCTTATGTTTCACTTTAATCAATAATTTTTTTGAAACCCATCGATTTGTTCCTCCATGTTCAACAACTAAGTTTAAGCTCTTTCCATCAATGGGCAGGTGAAATAAACAAATAAAAAGAAGCTCAAAGGATAAGGCCAAGCCACCCCTATTCCCACACATGGATCTTGTGAAACATAAAGATTATATAAACCTTAATAATAGAAAATATTATAATCTCAAACCACCTACATTACTGTCAATGCCACCAAGCCCTCATCCAGCACACAATAAACACCAACACCAAATTCCCCCTCCTAAAGCAACAAAATTACCTTCATCACACCTAATGTTAAGAAAATACTTTCCCTATGCTTCAAGTTACATGATTTTCTCCATCTATGATTAGAATAAAATAGAGTAGAGATGCTTGCAACAAAGAATAAAGTCACACTTATCATAGGAGTGTCAGAAAAAAAAGGCAGGGGACAGCCTCTAAAAAATACTAACACGCCTTCAATAACATAAAATTGATTCCCAAAATGTCAATCAAATAATTTACAACTTGATAATGCTAATACGTAAGTTTAGCACATATGGCACCACAATTGTCAAGGAAATTAAATTAAATAGTTAGTAGAGGATGTTTATTTCATTTTACTCGATGCATAGGATTGACTCCTCTATTGGGGTCCTCTATTGAATAATTGATACAAGGAAAAGATTTCTCCTCTATCAAAGCACTGTTGACCCAAAGACCCGGTTAGGAGAATAATTGTATTAGATTTGGCCTTTGTTAAGAAAGGTAGAGGTACCTAAAAAGACTCGGTTAGAAAACATTAGAAAATACCTTTTTTTATTAAATTCAAATGAAATTTGACTCATAGCAAAATACAATGGAGAAAAATGATTCATATAGCCGACCCTAGGTAGTGGGATTTAAGGCTTGATGTTGTTGTTGTTGTATAATGTATGATTATAAACTACGACAATCAACATCTGTAACCCTATGTTTCATGAAAAAAAAAGACATAACTAGATTAATTGTCAATTTAGTTGAGATGTGGTGTTACGAAGAAAGAATGTTACTCCTAATGTTTCAAGCTTAAGATAGCTAAAAAAATATGTCCACTAGAAATTTGGATACACAAGCTAAAGTTAATTGATATATATGTCCAACTTGAGGGGATGTTTTGGCATAAAAAAATATTTAACAAGGATTTGGGTCCACTACAAATTTCTATATTATATAATAAGATATAGATAATTGATATATATGATCCAATTGAAAGGAGAGTTGGCATAAAAAATTTAGCAAGGATTTGGGTGCAAGTTGATATGCTTTGTAACAAGCTAGAGTTGACTGAGATATATGCTCCAATTTGAGGGGGAATATTAGCATAGGACCAATTGCATTAACTTAGGACATGAAGTTTAAGGGAAATACTTAATATATAATTAGTAGAGGAATCTAGTACTGAATAATATGAACAAGAAGAAGATTTCTCCTCTACTAGTGAGAAACATAAACTTTGAATCCAAGCCTAAACAAAACAATCTTACAAATTCATCTATTTTTTCATCACAGTTCATTCTAAACAATTCATACCTAATTTTACTACTGATACAACTTCCTACTAAAGCTCCACTTAAATCCATATATTATTTCATATTATTTTTGGCCAACTTAAAACTCCGGTTGTTGAGACTACGGTTGTTCCATCAATGTTTTCAGTAATTTATGATCAAAACAAAACAGAGTATTACAACCCCCTCAGTTTGCTGAAATCAATTTAAACATGCGGGTTATTGTTCTCTAACCTAACTCCATATAGTCATTGTTGCAATCAATTTACACATGTACGCATTATTGTCCTCTAACCTAACTCCATATGGCCATATTGTCATTTTAAGCAACAAACCTCCCAGCTGACAAAAGCGTGTTCATGTTTATTACAAGAAAATTCTGATTTATTCACAGGACTATTTGATGGGTACAAACCAAAGTCTCTTTAGTTGCTAAAACCTTGATACATTCCTTAACCTAAGGCACGTAGGTTTGTTCAAGCCAAATCACCACGAAATGTATACTCCATTGGTGATTTGGCTTTAAAAAAACTATCTAATCAACCTGAGATATAAGATTACAACAGATTAAACCCTTACTACAGCAACAATTCCATTAAAAGACTGACGAATGTATACAACAAGATAATCTTCCAAAAAAAGAAGATTGAGAAATCTTGTTCTTCTAATTTCTATGAATTAACATTAAATGCGATACAATCCTAACAAAAAAAAGCTTGATTTTGATAAAACAAAATGATGCAAACCTTAATTACGGCACAAAATTGAAAATTTATCAAATTCCAAAAAATTAGATAAAAGATGATTTGCACTATGAACTTTTGGAAAAAATGCCAAGCATACCCTTCCCAACTTTTCTGGTGTCAATTCCTGGAATCGAGGAACAATTCTTCCACCTGTAGGCAAAGAAGAAGGATGGTTAAATTACAATCAAACATCATAAAAAGCAAATCATAGTCCTAGAAGAAAAAACAAATACTTGAGCATTCAGACAAACCTGTAGCAATCGCAATCAGTTCCAATTCCACACCCCCAACCCATCTAACAGCAGGCAAGTTGCGATGCATCAATAAGTGATTTGCCTCATCATCAAAACCCCACTGACAAATGACCAGAGTGGCACCAACATCCTGAAAGGATAAGGTTCAATTAAAAGAAAAATAATCTTCACAAACTCCTAAAATCATCTGGCTCAGACATGTTGAAAGCACTTTCCTTCCAAACTTCTTATCAAGAAATATAAGGTTTACACATAACAAAGCTACAAACAACTACCAGATAATAAACAGCCGGAACATCCTTGCATGGTTCATGATCTAACAAATGTCGATACAATAAATGATAGGAAAAGATCTGTGTGGACACAAACATACATGTGCAAGCATATAACAAGCTCCTTGAACTTCTTATGCCGAACTGCAAGTGTTTACAGATAACAAATCTAGAAACAATTAAGACAAACTAAAACAGAAGTAAATTCCTTGCATAGTTCATTAACTGACAATTCTAGGTGCAGCAAATGATAGAAAAAAATCTGCCAGGACAAAAGCATAAATGTGTGCAAGCATATAACAAGCCATATGAAATGCATGGAAAACCAACATAAATAAATCATATATGAAAGCAAACAGAAGTTGATATGAACAGGCATGCATATACACGTAAACACAGCCTCATACACATGGAAACATGCATGCATGCACACTTGCATGATTGCTAACATGCATTCAAACAAAGTAACAAAAAAAGAGGCAGGCGTGAATGCACAACATCGTTAACTTGTTAAGAAAAATCCTCAATAACCTACATAATTGTTTAAACTAAAAACCATCCATATTCCCATCAAGCCTTGAAACAAGGCCTAGCAAGCACAACAATGGAAGCATACATGCATGATTCCCATTATGCATTCACACACAAAGCTAAGCTAAAGGTCCATGCGTGCATGAATAAAAAAATTATATTTTCTCAGAAAAATCCTCAACAACCTACATATTTGCTTAGACCAGCAACCATACAAATTCCCATCAAGCCTTGCAACAAGGCATTGCAAGCAGAACATGTTGATCCTACTGTTTTATATTGTCTTTGTGCCTACTCCATAAAGAGAATCCAGTTGGTATACACAATAATAATATATTGCATTTATATAAAATATGTTGAACATCACAAGTCGTATCACTTGAGAAGATTATTCATAAACAAAATGCACATGGCTTATATATTATCCAAAGTCAGTTTAGAAATTCTGCTCAGTTAGTAAAGGAAAAATCATATGCGATTTACCTACCTTACATTTCTGGACCATGTCATCAAAATACTTCAGCTCTTGCTGTCTTAAAGTTTGAAACTTCTCCACAGTGTCAATGTCCACCTTATGCTTTGTCTTTGGCTTGGGTGGCTCAAATGGGCAGGTCAAAATAGCAATTTTTGCATCTTCAATTATTTTGGGCATCTGAGGATGGCTCATATCCTTGTCAACAATGATCCCATAGACGAGCTCAGTATCTTCCAGCTTTCCTCCAACCTTTCCTTCTACCTTAATCAAATCCAAATTGACATCTTTTCTCTCTAAATCTGCAACTGCTAGCACAGCTTTAACAGCTATTTCAGCTAAAGTTTGTTTGCAACGATTGACTCTGGATAGAAGAGATTTCATTTTAATAACTTGTAGAAGAATAGAAAAAACAAAATAACTACTGCTGCATTCATACATAAAATGTTCCATTAAGTTCCAGTGTCCATTTAAAACTCAGAAAAACTAGTAATAATAAGAAGTAATTTCAAAATTCAAGAATAAAAAGGTGCATTGAGGTAACTTAAATGTGGCAAGATTGGTATCCTCATGACATTTTATCTAAGAATAAGCAAGACATATATTACGCATCTATTTTAATTTAGTAGTCAATTTCTTTTTCATTCCCATTCATAAAAAAGAAAAAAATTATCCAAAAAAGGAATTTTGGACATGGCAACAACTACATAAACAAGAATCTACGTGAGATCTCTAATAAAAGACATGCAAGGAAACCACTACCCAGATTAATTTTAAAGGCCCCATATAATGACAACTAATTGTATTTTATTATAGTTTTAATTTTTTAAAAGAAATAGGGGGACTAGTCAAAATAGATTTGGACGAAATTTTTTAAATGCTAAAACCCATTTTTGGAAGTTCATCAATCAATCCAAACTGAGTATTTCCAATGGCCATCTAAGATTTTAATAAATCCTTTATATTTGAAGTAGCTTGTTTAGTTTTTAAAATATAAACCAAAGAAGTGACCTTCCATTAGAGCCCTAGGATGAATTTTAACTGAAGAATTTTGGTATACTTCTTAGCGTGTTTCCCTCCACTTTTACAGCTCATATTATTTATACCCCTATTGTTTCAATGAAAAATAACTTTGATCACTTGCAAAACTTGTGCTGAGAACGTGTTGGTGTGCTACAAGCATTTGGATTGATTTGTGAATAACCACTATTACGGTTTATGAACCCTAGCATATCATTTCCTATCTTGTTTCGTATTCACCCATATCTCCAACAAATTCACAAGACTTCAAACCGCATCAGCCTCTTCAAAAATTGAGCTATAACCCGCTCATTAAAACACAACTCCAAATGTCCCTTTTTGTGAATCCATAAAAAACATTCAAAAATTCCTAACCATACATCCAGTTGACCTAAAATCTTTATACTCAATTAGTTAACAACCCAAACTTCAAATATGGTGTTTCCATTAATTTTGCACCACAATAAAACTGGATCATTCACTGCTGTAAAAATTCATCCACAAATCAATCTCAAATTCATAAATCTAGTCACTAGCTTCATTAGCCTCCCACAAACCCTAAACCTTCCACAAACACTCCAAAATTGCTTGAAACCTATTAAACATATTTACATCAATCTCATAAGCTTCCATTCAAGTGATGAAGTACATAAGACCCCTCCAACTACATTGATCCAATCTTTATGAAGTAAATAAGTATTTTTCATAAATCCATTTACCAACAACTACAAGATCAAAAATTTGAGTCACCAATTGCATGTGCTACCATTGGGGTGATGATGCAAATAGGACCCCTCCAATTATATTGTTTGGAACAATTTGAGGCCTTTAAATTAGATTAAGTCATACAGAACCACCAAGCAATTTGAGGTCTAAAAGATGCTCAGCTCTTCCTTGGAAAAGGAGTTATGTTTTTTACCCCTTTCTTTGAAGGAGGGTTCAGGGACCTAATAAGACTTGACTTGGGCTCCTCTTAATGAGGTAAAGAAACCATAAATTATTTTCCACTCACCAAGTCTTACGATGAGCAGGAGAACATGTCGGCAAAGAAACCATAAAGCGATTTGGGAGCAAAAAGATGATTTATTATTCTTCAAAGAGGTGTTTGATTCTTGACCCTGTTCGTTGAAGGAAGGAGGGCTCAATTACCTCTGTGTAAAGCTCAGCTTGGACTCCTCTTAATGAGGTATCTTCATATCTCTCTCTCAAAAGGATTCAACCTAAATCTTATATATGCCAACTCCTAGGAACCTTTTTCTACTAACAACAAAAACCTCGCCAACATCTCCTTATCTTGATTCAACATTTAAAAAAGAAATAACTAATGAAGAGAAAAGTTTAAGAAGAGGGAAGGAGTAATAGCAAGGAATGGAATGGCTCTTCAAGGAGAGGCATGCTCCTTAAATAAGAGGGTTTCAGCTATGAAGAGGGAGAGAGTGAAAAGATTTTGGCCAAGGAAACATAAATAGCATAGAAGTAAATTTCAAACAACATAAAGAATCTTATATCAAGAGATAATTTATTAGCAACTGAAGCATAGAGTGCAAATCATGGCAAGGGAATTAGATGGTGCTCGGCCTTTTATAGGTGTGGTATGGATGCTTAATCACCCATATATCCAAAAGTGTGATGGACAGAATGCAATCATTCATAAAGCAATATTACATAAAAAGGTGTAATTAATGAATACAACCTTTTCATGAAGTAGTGTGAATTAATGGATGAAACTTTCATGAAGCAACTTTACATGAAGAGATGTGAATGAATGAATGCAACCTTTTAATAAAGACCCTCACATGAAGAGGCATCAATAAATTCACCAATCAATGATGAAATGCTTTACATATGGACATCTTTAAAACAAAGATGAGAAAGGTATGCATTGGTATCCTTTGGACAAAAGATGGCAAACAAACCCCTAATATTATGGCCAACACAACACATCAACTAGTTGGGTTTCACATCACATTTTAAATGATTTACACATACACAAGAAATATATGAAACAAAAGTTTACATGATAAAGACATACATGTAAAACCATGCCTTAATTAACAAAACATTTCGCAAGACAATGGGATTTAGGATTTACATCTTTAAAATATTAACTTGTATATGAAACTTAAAACTACCCATGAAAGTTAATGTTCCTTGAATAAGAGTTTCAACTAATATATTGAAGCTATATAGACTATAAATACAAGGACATCCATTTATGAAATTCCTTTTATTATAAATTAGGATCTAAAGGAATAGGAATGCAAACAAGAAGCTAAGACATAAACATAGCACACTCCTAACTTAGCAACACTAGCAAACATAAGAATTGCAATTTTGCATATCAAGAAACGGAAGTTTCGTGCAAGAAAATAGCAATATATAAATGGATGTTAAAATACAAAATTTCATACTCACATCTTTGAAGATAAAGTTGTCATGCAAGTTCGTACAAGAGGTTCTATATTGGTCACATTAAATTCAAATTTTTGGGCAATATGCTCAAGATGTTCAACAGCTATCCGTGATGCCAATTCATATCCCTCAGCAACCCTAACAGGATGAATGCCACGTTCAAGTAGCTTCTCAGCCTGTTCTAAAAGTGCACCAGCCATTACAACAACTCCAGTGGTGCCATCACCAATTTCATAGTCTTGACTCCTAGACAATTCTACCATTAATTTTGCTATCTGATTGTCCACATCCATCAGCTCCAATATTGTTGCACCATCATTTGCTGTGGAGAAAAGAATATGTATCAGAACAAACTATGTAGTCCACTAACTACAAAACTCATAAGCTACTTCTTCAATTATACTTTATGCACTTCGAACTACATGTATTTTAAAAATTTCAAAATAATGACAACAAACATACAAGAAAAAGCCAATATCCACAAAAGCATTTTAAAAAAAGCAAATAATCAACCAAAGATTATAGAAACAAAACATGCTTTACTTTAGTTTGCACATCCAAAGGATGAAAGTGCGAGAGATTAGATGATTCACATTTTGACCGGAATATATAAAATTGGTATAGCTTCCTATTCTCTAGCATGTTCATGTCTCAAACATCCACAGTAGCCATTCTCCTAAAACGATAAAAATAGAACAAGCTCATGTTACTCATCTCATTATCCAACAAACCTACATTTCTTATGCGATCAAAGTAATAACAAGCATCCAAATCGAAACCAAAAAAAGAGTTTTTTCTGCCTTTTCCATCCCTTCATCAACTCAGCCTAACAGCTAAAATTCAACGGAAGCAAAGAGATAGATCATTGAATAAGAGCAAAGTTTATTTAGGGGCTGTTTGGTAGCAGGATTTAGGGCTGGATTTGAGGCGGATTTGAGCGAAATCCAGCCAAACGGCCTAAAATGCAAAACCAAATCTCACGGCAAACGAAATCCTCCGTAGACGGAAAAATCCGCTGATTCGCTCTAAATCCGGGATTTCCGAAATCCTGTATTTTGCAGGATTTACGAAATCCATGATGCTAGAGGAAGAATCGGCTTAGTAAATCCTGCTCTATAGCCAAACAGTCACATGAGATTTAAGAGGATTTATCATGAATGTTACCAAACAATTTTCAGGATTTAAGACTCTCAGGATTTCCGAAATCCGGATTTAGAGGATTTAAGAAATCCTAATTAAATCAAATCCAGAATGATACCAAACAGCCCCTTCGGGTGGATTTATGTTCAACAACGAATTACCTTCACCATATGCATTTTCCAATATAATCTCAGAAAATATGTTAAATAAGCATAGGGTTTCTGGTATACATCAAGAAAGAAGCATACAAAATGAAATTAATTGCCCTAATCCTACTACCTTCAAAGAAAGAATAAATAAGCAAAAATGTCTGCACTCCCACAAGAAATACAGCGAAAAAGCCCCTGCTATAAGTCCATCCAACTCCAAATCCCTTTTACTTTTTCAAAACGAACGTGAAACCCTAGAAAGAGTAAGTAGAAAGGGTTACTCACTGATGGTGACATCACCATCTGGGCTCTGAAGCATCTTGTCCATGCCTTTGGGACCGAGGGAGGTACGGAGGATACGAGCAACGGCTTTGCCAGCATTGATGTTGGCCTTCTGGGCGTCCAGCCCCCGCAGCCGGCTCTTCTGTTCCTGCTCCTTAATGATGATGAAGGGCCGGCCATATTCATCGAATGCCAATGCCATCGTGCTCCTTTGGCGGTACCCTCCCGCAACAACGAGGCTGAGGAAGGAGAATAGTAGAGTGATCGCAGGGATGCGAGCAGAAGGGTCTAAGAGGAGGCTTATGAGCGAGTGGGGAAGTAGAGCGGCCCTAACGAGTTTGATCCGACGGTCAAGAGCCGATCCCAACCCCCTCGAGATCAGCTCGATTCGATCTCGAGTTATGATTTGTTTTTTTTTTTCATTAATTTTTTAGAAATTATTTTTTCAGAATTGTTGATTCTATTTATTTATTTTTTTTAATAAATTTTAAGAAATCCAACATCTAATAACTCTATTTTTTTTAATTAAAAAAATTGCCTTAAATAAAATCTAATCAATGATGTATTTGGGACACCCATTTAATAATTTTATTTTTTAGACAATTATTACATTCCTATTTAGTTATGATTTTTTTAATAAAAAAAATAATATGATTAGAGGCATTTTCTCTCATTCAAATCGACTAAAATATGATAGGCATAAGAATATGATAGTCCAATTTATACATATTTATAATATTCAGCACAACGTTCAAAAATCTATTTTTTCATAATAGTTCTATAACTATTATTATAAATAGGTGTAATTGTCTCAAATGATCCTTTAGAGTGAGGTATCTTTATTATTAGAACTTTTATTCTATCCAATGAACGTACGCAGAGGAAGATTCGGTTTTAGGCAAAAAAGCGTCTGTACCGAGTTTTTTGAAAAAACTCGGTGCCCTGAAAAAAAACTCGGTACAGGTGCTTTTTTGCCTAAAACCGAACCTTCCTCTGTATACGTTCACTGGATAGAATAAAAGTTCTTATTATTAAGCCTTAACTTCCTAAGAGAAAAACCTTTGATAGTCGAGCTTTAAATTTTTATCATACTACAACATGTGATACTATGTGAAATTTTTTATAGTCGGGCTTTAAATAATTCTTTTATTACAACATATATCATTTGGTGGAAATAAGTTGTACTCATTTAGAAAATATTTAGTCAATTATTTAAAGTAAGGTAGATTTATACAACTGAATTCACAGTCGCATAAACATTTATTTTGTACCCTTAATGATGTACAACATCAAATAAATCAAGATAATCTTGTTAAATGTTGATTACAGGAGCTAAGACTAAATTCTAATGAAAATAACAAAATAAAAAAATTGAAAATGTATGGCATGCCTAAGGCGGGGGATGAATTGATGTGTATTTTAAATATTTCTGATTGTATGGAAGCCTTTAAAAATAAAAACATTAAATTTTCCTCTTTTTTCTAAATTTTGAAAATTATGTTACTTTTCTTATGAACAATTAAAAAATACTTTAATATAAGCACCACATTAATAGAGAAAAAATAGTGATAATATTTTTTCTTAAATAAGATTAAAAGTAAAGTGATAAAAAAATATGTTTAATTGCATGAATGATTATAAAGTCCTCGCTGCCAAGTCAGAACGCATGTATATCAATTCCGAATTATCTGACAAATTTTTCAGGAAGATGCCACCGCTTATTAAAGATGAAATCGAAGCGGCATTCAAGGTCAAATACCCAGGAAATACAATCGGAGTCATGCACAGAATCCGATTCACTTACCTGGCAGACCTCTGCAAAAAGGCAGCAGTTCAACGAGGCCTAAATCTTATCACATGATAAGATTTTTTTTCTTCATTATAAATAAGAAATCCAATGATGATATCATAACTAAGCATATAAAATAAAATTACAAGAAATTTTAAAAAAAAAAAAAGTAAAAGTAAGAACAAGTAAACTAAATTTATTGTGATTCAAGCAACTTGACCTACATCTTAAAGTCCTTGGAGGTTGTTAGACCTCAATGAAATAGCCCTAAGGCTCACTAATACGTAAGTAATACTATCACTTGATACAAAAGCTAGTACACTTATCAAAAGTTACAAAGATTATGATAATAATCTAATCAACACCACATAATATCAATCACAAATTTTCAACCAAGTAATTATATCCAAAATAAAATGTGTAAAAATAAACTGTAGAAATTAAAATCAGAAAGAATACATCAGATTTATAGTGGTTTGGTCTAATCTGACCTTGATCCACTCCTCGGTGGCACCCTCTAAGTATTGCACTTAAACATTTTAGTGTCTCTCATTTTGCTCTCACATCAAGGAGGATAAGCCTTTTCAAAATCTTTTCACCAACCTGGTGTAGTAGAGGATCGATACTTCTTTCACAGGCAGAGAACATTGACTACTTTTTCTCCCTTCTGAAGATGGCAGAGAACCATGAATCCCTTTCACCTTTCCCGGTACAATAGAGTAGCGAGTCCTTTGACACCAAAGAGATATTATTCTTCTCAAAACTTCCCTTAAGAAAAACCTTGAATCTGATGGTACTAAGATGCAAGCTTGTCAGAACAACCATGTGAAATCCCCTCCACACTCCATTAAAACTCACAAGGATTTTCTCCCTCTCAAACTACACCCTTTTCTCTCTCCCTTTAAAGGCTCTCTCTTCAAGTTTCTCTAAAAGAACAGAGACTCAATACATTTTAAAGACTCTAACAAAGTCTTTGGAGAAAGCTTAAATAAAGGGCATAAAAAAAATCCTAAAAAATCAATTCAGTTGTCAAAGATAACAGTACGATCGCAGGATTGTCCAGTACGATATACATAATTTGACATGTCAGTATTGTACGATCACCTGTTAGTATAGTACAAATAGTTCAATTTGTTTGTTCGTACTATAAGCCATCAGTACAAACATAAGTATGAACAATTCAATTTATATGTTAGTGTTATATGATCATCAGTACAAATGACCCATCGTACAGTACGATTAGTTCAACTGAAATACAGTTTGTTCAAGATGAATCATAGGATGACCAAAATCGTTTATGTAGATCATACAATATGATCCAATTCATACAGTACGATCAAAATATCAAAATTAAGCATATTCGATTGACTAATCATATGATTAAATTAGATAATGTTTTTAACATCGTACAATATGATTAGGTTTGTATTTATAATTAGAACAACTTTTCAAATTCAAAATTTTGTCTAATTTAATGGATGACAGGCTTTCCAATTATAACATATAATCCATTATGATGTATCGTATTATACAGCCAGGTATATTTAAAAAAATCCTAGAAAAAATAAATTATTTTAATTAATTTATGTAACACCAAATCATACAGTAAAATTCATATCGTATAATATGATGTATAGAAAAAATAAAATATTTAAAAACTTTTTTCCTTCCCTTGTGTGTGTGTGCACGATCACCGAACTAACAATATGCACTACAAATACTTGGAGAAATAAAGTGGTAATCAATATTATTTGTTATCATCAAAGTCATAACCTTGAAAGCCCGAGTTATAATAGTCTCCCCTTTTTTATGGTGGCAAATAATATCGGTTGAATTTACAAACTAAAAATATTTTCTCTTAAACTCCCCCTCATTAAAAGAATTACATTTAAAAATAGGGAAAAACATTTTTTTAAGACATAAAATTTTTAAAGCTAAATAACAAAAAAATTTAAAAAAAAAATCACAAATATAATCAATTATAATACATTCTCCCCCTTTGACATTATTTGATTATCAGTTGATAATCTACATATATATGGAGTTTCTCAATTTTCATATTAATCGCCAACTCGAGATCAGAGATCCCAAGTAGACTGAAGTAGTTAAATTTGAGTTTTAATTTTATTGGGTGTTTTAGGATTTATATCTATTAGAATACCCATAAATTATTTTAGTATGGGATTTATGACTTCGTTTAGAAGTAACACAGGAGTTTGAATTGGAACGAGACTTATGGCTTCTTTAAGAAGTAGCCCAGATATTTAGATTTAGGTTGGGACATGGGGATTTGATTTGGAATGGGGCTTATTGCTCTTTTTATGAGTTGTCCAAGAATTTGATTTAGAATGGGGTTTACTGCTCTATTTATGAGTTGCATAAGGATTGTTCTTACAACCTAACTCTATAGTGAGGCTGGCTGGAGATTTTAATTATTTAGGTAGGACTTATCCTATAATGAATAAATGAAATTTATTAAGTATCATTATTAAATCAATATCAAATTAAATGCTGAAGCATAAAATATTATAATAAATTACTAGTACACTAGTGTAGGAAAAGTAATCTACTACCATTGAAATGAAACTACCAAACAACATGAAAAGAAATTATTGTAGTAAAAACACTGGTGTTACACAATAACAAATGGTCAAACTAGTAAGTACAATTGCTGATAAACAACCAATTGAAAAACCACGATGGTCTAGTGTCAAACAATTACTGTCCACTCAAACAATTCAAACCTCAGGGCATCATAACCTATAGGGTTAGGTTGTAAGATCCACTAGAGGACTATTTCTAAGTGAAGTCGTAAGTCTCATGCTTTAGGAAATCTTTTTAAAATGAAGGGCATTGACCCTGAAAACCCTATATAAGAGAGAACTCTCGATTAAGGATGAATAAAATTTTAGGTTATTTAGTCTCAATTTTGGAGAAAATGGAGGAAAACCCGATCAAAATTCCATGGTTCCATCGTCCCGGGTATACCATAAGTTTCAGTCTACAAAAATAACAATCATTGACCGTAGTATCCAGAGAATATGATTAACAACCATGGGTTGCCTCCTCTTAGGGATCCCGAGTAGACTGAAGTGGTGAGATTTGAGCTTTAATTTTATTAGATGTTTTGAGGTTTACATCAATTAGAATACTCATACATAAATTTAGTTTGAGATTTATGATTTCATTTAGAAGTAACCCATAAGTTTGGATTGGAACGAGACTTATGGCTTCTTTAGGAAGTAGCCCAGATATTTAGATTTAGGTTGGGACTTACGACTTTCATATAAAGTAGCTCGATTATTAAATTTGGAATAAGGCTTATTGCTCTATTTATGAGTTGCCCAATGATTTGATTTAGAATGGAACTTACTGCTCTATTTATGAGTTGCTCATGGATGGGTCTTAACCCTGATACTACCCTAAAGGGAAATCTGATTAACTACAATCTGATTTAAGGAAAATGGAATCTTACGGCTTTAAAGCGGGATTCATGCATTCGTGCCGTTTTCTTGAGTCAACAGGTAAATCATGAGAAAAATATGTTTTTAACGATTTAGTAGAGAAGAAATATGTTAACTCAAAATTATTAAAAACTAAAATGAGAATTATGTTACTTACAAAGAATAGAAAAATTCTCGGTACAAAATTGATGGACAAAAGAGCTTCAAACAACCTTCTATCTCCTCCCTCTCTCTTCCTACTTCAGCAAGGTATAGAGCTAAAATTCAAAATTCTCATTTAAATTTTTTTTTTTTTTGAAATTTGGGTTATTATATATAGCCCATCAATACCTACTCTAATTATTAAGATAATTTATAAATGACAAAATATAAATAGCAAAATTATTACTATCTCCTTAACTTTTTTTTTAAATAGATTTATCTTACGAATCTTTATATAAAATTGAGAGGGCATCAAATTTTATGGCTGCAGTTAGGGGTGCCAACAAATAATGTGACTTGACAATCTAATGCATGTCTGACTCAAAAAATTTTGGGTTTGTATTTTCCAGTTTAATAAGTGGGTCCGATTTAGATCAATTTCAACTTGTTATTTTTTTTATTCAGGTTAACCCGTGAACTCAATAATGACCTATTTATTTTTTCCTTTAAAATTTTTATTTTTTGATGTGCACTTCTTATTTTTGATATATTAATCTAATTGTTATAGTTGATAAGTTAGAGCTTTTTTAAAATTAAAACAAATTATTGGTACGATTCATCTCATCCTAGTCATTGGATCAGACCCACCTTTTAAACCTGTTTAACATACCCACCTATTAAACCTGTTTATCATACAGATTTGGATCAATCGAGTATGAGATTTGACAAACTATTAACCTATTTTAACTGTAACGAGCATGGTATGCTGCTTCAGAATTTTAACTCAAGACATTTAGGGGCTATTTAGTTGGATTTGGATGTAAAATATTTCAAATGCAGTGGTAAAAATTTGGCGTTTGGTTGGATGAAAAAGGAATGTAAAGCAAAGTAAATAGAGTATAAACTATTATAGTTTCTTTGAGGTAAATTAAACTCATACAGTTTGAACGAGAACGACTGCATCACAAATAAATTTACCTAACCATAGTAAATCATTGCCGGTGCCTCCACCCTCTATAACCACCACCGCTGTCAGCTATTGGCCACCACCACCACCATGACCCGTCAACGACCATCTGCCACAACCCCCGCCGCTAACCACCACCTCTGGTTACCACCGTCATCGGTGCAACTGCTGATCACTGGCGGCAACCATCAGAGTTGCTGGCAACTACTACTACTATTGCTGGCCACCGTCGGTCTCCAACATCTTCAAATTTTACAATATATTCTTTTTAATTCAAATATTAAAAAAAGTATTCATATAAATTTTCTTTGTAATTGTAAAAATAAATTTTAAATATTTTTTATACTATATTTGTTTTACATTATATTTATTTAGTACTATAATTTTTCTGCTTTTTATCTAACCAAGCAGCCGCTTATATATATATCGAAGGTTCCAACCTCGGAATCCAAGAATCATTAGTAAAGAAAATCCTGCTCCAACTACTCCACCAATGCTTCGTTCCAATACGGAATAAAGGGATCTCTTTCCATCCCCTTTCATAGTCTACAAATTTTTTTTGTTTTCACAGAAGAAGATTGCCAAAACATGATATTAGATCCCAAGAACCTTAGCACCTTTCCAATTTCTTCACTATTTTCACTACGGTTATATACATCTATTATTTTGCCTCCCAACAACGCCTGCGGCGAATCCGATGACCCTTCCACCTGCCTTCTTACTGCTTTCTCGGCAGCTTCCCCAAATACGAGAGCGAGGGCCGTTTCACTTTCTGCTTTCTCAGCTATTAAAAGCAGCTTTTCTCGCTTTGGCGTTTTTCGCGTCCGGTAATACCATATGTTCTCCTCCGGCTGTGACTGACTATTTGAAGACTTACTCTGGGATCGAAGTTGCACATATTCTTGATTCGATCGCCTATAAGTAGCACAAAGTCATGGCTTTTTCTGCGTTTACTCAGAATTTTCAGACTGTTGTGTTCCTCAAGCTGGATGAAGCTTCCGCGCGATTTCATTGCTATCCGTTGTTTCATTGCTTTAAAAGAGGTGATTTGGACGGCAAGCTGAGTGTTCTAGGGTGTCCAGAGTAAGTTTTAAAACTGTATTGTTGCGGCGCTGGAGTAATTTGTGATGGTTCTGAAAAGGCTTGCAGGGCAAGAGGAGTGTGATGGGTCTTCTGCTCCAGAAGCAAAGCGACCTCGCCTCCTGATTGCGTGAGTCTGTAGCTGGGATATTTTTGTTTTTGAAAATTTGAAGCTCTTCTTTGTTTGTATTTAGCTGGTTTTCATCTGTTAGGGCAATGAGAGAGGTCATGGGAGCACAGTTTATGCAGAGCCACTTGTCAAAGCTTGAATCTTTTCTCCGTCGTGTGGTACTATATTTGTTAAGATTTATTTTTTTAGCATATTTATATTTTAGCACTGAAGAACTTTACTGCCTGGAATTAGTCCATTTTATCTTTTGGTTACTCACAGTCGAGCTGTTTTTTTGTAGTTTTGCAGTATACTTCCCATTTTTCCTCTTTAAAGAGTGTAATTTTGTTGTCCTATTTTTGGCAGGATTTAATCAAGATCTAGCTTAAATCCTGCCAAACAATATTTTGGAGACTTTAGTGCTCTTTGGAGTAGCTCCAGTACAGGATAAGATTAGAGAGAGTCGCCTTAGATGGTTTGGTCACATAAAATGGCGGACTTCTAGTGACCTGGTTAAGAAAGTAGATGTATTAGATTTGACTTATGTTAAGAAGGTCAGAGGTAGACCTAAAAGGATTTGGTTAGAAAATATTAGAAATGACATTTGTTTATTAGATTTAAATGTGAATTTTACTTATAACAGGACACAATGGAGAAAAAAGGATTCATTTAGCCGACTCCACATAGTGGGATAAAGGCTTGTTGTTGTTGTTGTTGTAGTGATCTTTGGCTACAAGCGGATTTAACTAAACTAGTATTTAGTAAATCCTATAATTCCATATTTAAAAACTAGAGCATTAAAACTTGAAGACTATGACATATCAATGGTTAACTCTTACTAAATTTTGGTAAAGTGTTTGACGATTTCTTTTAGGATTTAAGAGTTTTAAGTGAGAGAAATGTTTAAATCCATTAGATCTTGTAAATGGTGAAATTTAAGAAATCCTAAATTTACTAAAGAAAGAAATAAAACTAGTATTTATCAAAATGCTAGGAATTTAAATCTTCAAAATATAATTGGTAAGTTTTAAGCCAAATCATGCCTAACCCAAAGAGCCATTAAATTGGGCTATTTGGCTAAAACATGTTTCACCCCATGTTAGTTCAATTTTTGATTTGTTAAATCCTACTATTCATAGGATTGAATGAATTTATGATTTTTTCCCTCATATAAATCTAAAATTTTGAAACAAATAACCAAACAATTTGTTGAGTATTAGTTTCATATTAATATTTAATAACTAGCACCCATTTATTTAATTCTTTTTGTTATATATATTTTTTGTTATTTAAATGAGAATTTGACTATTAAAAGGACACAATAGAGAAAAAAAAATCATAGAGCTGATCCGATATAGTGGGATAAAGGCTTAACCCATCATTTTAATATTGTCACCATACCACTAGTCCCATTGTCCTTTGTTCATTAGTTCTGGTTACCCTTTACAAGCCGCCATACACTGTCAATCTTATTGGCGGTTGGGAACAATAATCCCTTCACCACACTGTCTCCCATCAACATGCGACCAATTCCATCTCCCTTTGTTAGTGAGATCCTACTACCCCTAAGATGTTGTTGGTCTCGTCGCATATCATGATTTCCTTATCTCCTCATCATACAACAAGATTTGGGTTGTGACTGAGTCGCCTTATCGAGGGTTTTCATTAAACCTATTTACTTCTATTAATAGAGTGCTATATATTTGAAAGGTGAAGTTTAAGTATTAAATATGTTTAATAAAAGAGCTATACATGTAAATCCTCCTTTTAAACATTATGCTGATTAATGAGGACACTAGTTAGAGATAATAGGGGAAATGAGAGAGTAATGTGCTTTAGCATAAATATGACTTATATACTTTTAGATTACTGTCTTTATTAGCACTCATTATTTTTGAAACGCTCTCCTTAAGTGTTCCTTGCAAATGTTCTCAATGTTTGGGTTTTATGTGTTGCCATTTTATGCGTTAGATTTGGATTGCATGTTTTTTCTAGAATTAAGTGTAATTTCTTTGAGCTAGCAAGGATTAAAAGTTCAAGATGAATTCCATCAAATTTTGTAAAGCTAAAGTCTATTAGAAATATTGTAAGCAAATGAAGTAAAGAAATGAAATGAAATGAACAAGTTTACTAATATCAATGACAATATTACAATTAAAATGTAGAACATTACAATCAGAAATTCAACCTTTATTCAAAATTTGAAAACTAGAATGAGAAGGTATGTGGGGCTTGTGTTCCACATATTTTCCTTAAAATAAATTCGCTCTTAATCCGTGCTTGAGAATATCAAGAACGTGTTTCTTAGGGTGCAAGTGAAGGATTACTCCAATGAATTCGAATGTATCTTCACGTCATCATATGAACGCCTAATACTTTAGAAAGGACATGAGCCTATGAAGCAATAAATGAAAAAGCGACCTTTTGGTTTTTCGTGCTTAGAAATTTTCTTGAAAGCATCCTTATATAAACTTTTATAAGGGATGCTATAAAGTTTGGATGAATGGGGGATCTAATACCATAGGTTTTAAATTTTTAGATTTGATTAAAATTTATTCCATCAGGTAAGAACCTTTCAGTTTTTAGAATTCATTCTTAGGTTACAAATTTGAGCATTAATTTTTCATTTATCCATAGGTACAAACTAATTTTCCAACAATCTCCCACGTGAATGAACTTGATCGACAATGTAGAAAAAATAAATGTTGGACATGGTGATAGAGTTCTGTAGTTAATACGTAATCCCTATGATTTGCTTATCCCTTTGATCCGATAGCTTGGGATATGATTAGCTTATCCATTTAAGATTGTTAGAAATATTGCTCTCAAATAAGGAAATGGAATAAAGCAAAAAAGTTTACTACTATTAATGACAACATAGAATATTACTACCAAAAATTCAACCTTAAGCCTGAATTTGAAAAAAAAAAAGAAAAGAATGTCGATCTTTGTGCTCTACACAATTTCCTTATACAAGATTTGTTTCATTTGCCAGGGCTTAAGGATGTCATGAGCATCTACATCATGAGATATAGCAACGATTGTGTAGAACTTGCACACTATGAGTACTACTTTGATGATCTCAAATCTAACTACACTCTATAAACTGAAACTAAAAAACTCTGGAAAGATTTTACGCCTGAGAAGCAAGAAATAAGGAAATTTATGATTTTTTGTGCTTAAAAGTATTGGAGAAAGCCTTTCAATTTAGCCACATAGGATGAACCTTTCAAATTTTATAGGAATTAATCTTATATGCTACAACTTTTCAAATTCCATAGGTTATAAATTTGAACATCAAAATTTTCACCTAGTTACTGTTTTTTTGTGCCATTTTTTTTAATCCATAATAATTTATTTGCAAATTTGCGCATGGGAAAATCTTCCTTGTAATGCACTTATTTTATATTTTTATCATTCTCTTTGCAACGCATCTTAGAACATAATTGTTTATGTTCAGCTAGAATTGTGTCATTCCAGATTCATTTGATATGGGTACAAAAATTACCCCCATAAAATGAACTTATTAGCTCTAGCAGAAGTGGTGCATTTTAAACTTGTTTATTTTTGAAGTAGTTAATTAAATACAAGATTTGGACCTATTTCTGACCTCTTCCTGAATTGATGAGTACATTAGGTTACTCTTATTCATCTTTAAAATTACCTTATTCAAGTTCTCAACTTGTTGCAGATACAAACTAAAAGCTGCCCTCTAGTTTGAATTAGCGAATTGAAGTCATTATCCAAATCTATTAGTCATTAGCATTGTGCGACCAGTTGAGGGCATTGTTATTTCAAGGCTTTAGGCCTAATGAATGATTAGACATGAGTATTTGCTTCATCATTATCATCATCATTAGCCTGATTCTACTTATTTAGTATCGACTTTATACATCTTTCTACACTACTAACTCTCTTGACTTAACTTGTCCAACATGCATAAAAATTGTATCATCTGGTTATAAGGTCTTGCATGCATCTTATTATCATATGTTCCGAGTGGATACCTTCATGCTGTTGTGCTGTCTTTGTTAGATATTTTGTCTCAGAGAAAGCGAATTGTGCAATGACATTAATTTAATATATAAATTTTCTGTGTTAGCTTCAACTTATGCCTAGCTATTGCAACTTCCTAGGACGTGGCACAAAGCTGTATTTATGGAGCCAATTGTTTTGGGGCACATAATCGTAGTCTCTAAGACTTGATCTGACTACCATCTTGAAAGACTTATTTGATATAGATATGTATGATATGGTGACAATTACTTCGCAAGTTACTTTTTAGCAGATTGATGATTCTTTAGGCACAAATGCTTTTTGTATCTTCTACTATTGTGATTTATCTTTGACATTGGATTTCTTGCACATTCTTTGAAAATATTTATCAATATAAAAAAATATTTTTATAAGATGGTGGTGAGACCTGCAATGCTTTATGGTGTAGAATGTTGGACATTAAAAGAGAAGCATAATTCTAAGTTAAGTGTTGCAGAGATGAGGATGCTCAGGTGGATGATGTCTAAACCTATCACATCTAGTCATCACCTTATATGATGTCTAACTAATTGTAACTACATCATTTGCAAACAATATAAACCAAGCATCTTGCTTTGAATATTCTTTGTAAGCATCTTCATTATTATTGCAAAAGTATATGAACTCAATGTTAATCTTTGATATAAATTCACGGTAATTAGAATCTTTTGGGTCACTTAACGCCTATTCGTAATATTTCCATCAAACATATCTATTAGAAATTTATTGAATTGTAGACAGGTATGATTGAAAAACATTCTCAGGACTGGGCAATAGGTTATAAACATTGCATCTTCACTCTTGACCTTGATGTTTAAAACTAATACATACAAACTTCTAATTTGTTGTTTTTTACAGTTTCATCCAAAGTAATGTCAGTTTGTTAAAAATTTTCAATATGAGGTGCCTGCATGCACATATGAAGAGTTTATGTTTTTTCATGAGATCTAAATAATTCTCTCATGTTCAGGTGCAAGAGGAGGTGCAAAATGCATTCAATCATCATGTACACTCAGTTCCCAGGTCAATTTTGCTTTAGTTACCCAATTTGTAGCATAAATAGCATTTTGTTGGTGTTTGTATGCATAATTCATTTGTGTGCTCACACATTTCTCATGATCAATTAAATGAATAACTTCTCTTTTTGGAAAGATCTTATTTATTATGTTTCCATTGGATTGATTTATTGTGTTTCTGCTGATTATTTTGATGCACTTGTAGCAGCCTGGAAAATCTAAATAACATATTCAGTTTGATATAAATTTTTATTGTATTACTTAGCTTATTATTTTATTGTATTCTGCAGTAGAATACCGCCTGCAACTCCGAGCCACTCCACTGTTAGCAAACAATATCAGCTTCACTTCAATAATACTTTACCTCATACAATTTACACGGGCAGTAGAATAGAAGCTGAAGGTGGAGTTCCTGTTCAGGTTCTGATTATAGATAGTGGTTCAAAATTGATCGTCACTTCTGGTCCTTTGGCTTCAGCCAAAATTGAGATTCTTGCTTTAGATGGTGACTTTGGTGATGAGGATGAATGGTCCGAGAAGCATTTTGTTGATAATATAGTGCGTGAACGAGATGGAAAAAGGCCACTGCTAACTGGAGAGCTGACAATTACCCTGAACCAAGGAGTCGGATGTGTTAATGATGCTTCTTTTACTGATAATTCCAGCTGGATAAGAAGTCGAAAATTCAGATTAGGAGCACGAGCTTGTCCAAGTAAATTGATGGAAGGAAGAATTCAAGAGGCAAAAAGTGAAGCCTTTTTAGTGAAGGATCACCGTGGAGAATGTAAGTTGATACCTTTTAAATAACTGATATTCTTAAATGCAGGAATTCTGAAAACTCATTTAAATGAAAATGAGATTCTAACAAAATTAACTTTTCCAGTGTAGAAAAATGCAGCATGATTAGACTGATCAAGCCTGAACAAAATGACAAAACATACACATAACTCTCTCTCTCACACACACATGCTATCAATAAACCACCACATACTGTCACATATAAAATTAGATTATATGCTTATTTAGAAAAGGTAAACTGATGAACTAATTAAACACTCCACATTCAATAAGTTAAGGCGAGGATCCATAGCTTGCCTTAATATTAACCATTTTGTGGTTTTGTTTGTTATGAATGCACAAAATTGGAATGGATGGTTAACCATCATCAGCAAGCAGCAGCAGCATTATTCCAATATTAGGGGTTGAACTTAATGGCACTCATTCTCCATCTATTTATGTTGAGTGTTTTTCCTTGAGGTGTTAAATCTATCTTTTATATATATATATAATGTTCAAAGTCTTTATATTACCTTCAGATTTTTCAAAATCTTATCAGTATATTTATCACATAATTATTTATTCTATTTTGTGTTTCATTCTTCCTTATATTAGAGTTAGTTTTTCTTCTCTAATATCTAGAAGATACAATCACAACTAAAAATATTTAAGAATTTTGGAAAAGGGATCTGGCTTGCAAAAAATAAATAAAAAAAATTGGCAACGATGCAAAATCAAAAGATGTATAATGATGACAAATTGAAAACAAAATACACAAAGTGTATCAAAAATTAAAGATGCGCAAAGTGCGCCAAAAACCTGACAAGAGGCATAAAATGAGT